GTTGATATGGCAAATAGAAATGAGTTTTCTTTTCTTTAAAAATCCCGCCAAAAAAAGATGGCATTCCTCGGTTCCCCCGTTTGCGCTACCGCGAGGCTCCTCTCCCCCTCCCCCAGAGTCTGTACGGACGGCGTTCGCTCGCTCGCTCGTACGATGACGGAGCTCCGCTATGACTGCAGTAAAGAACAATTGTACAGGGATAGTATTACAAAGTCCCACGGCATATCTAATATTCTTCACTTAATGTTAATGCTCATTCTGCGTTGTTGGCTGAGCAGCAAGTCGTGTAGGACGATGTTGCTTATCATTTACTCTTTCTCTGTCTGTTTTCCTATTACTGCGCATGCTGGTTTCGTTTGACAACTCCAATGGATATACCAACTGGTTGCGTGGTGTATTATCATTTATGAGAACAACGTCTCCTATAGCAATGTCTCCTGTTTTCTTGTTTGATTTTTTCTCTCGGTGATAGTGATGTTCGCGCAGACTCGTTAGATATTCCGGTTGCTATCGTGTCCCGATGGCTTGTAGTACTTTCTTATAGTACTTTGCTCTTTTCGTTAGTTCTTTGACTGAAATTTGAGATAGGACGTAGTCTGGATCAGGGGCCATAATCGGGGGACGGAGACCGTAAGTCTTGGGATCCGCGCGCACCTATGATATGGGACAATTTTGCTATCTTTAGAACAAATTGCGCCATACTGACGACATATCTTTGCGTAGATCCACGCACATGTCGTGGGTTCTCGGGTGCATGTTGTCATGTTGAGTGATCAAATGGTGAGAATTGCGATATTCTCTTACAGATTTTTCACAGCGACGGCAGGAAATAAGGCAAGGAATAAGAACCAGGGCTCTTATATGTAGTTTTATGCACTGAGCTAATGGAAAAGTCGAGTTTTTTTTCAGGGTCGAAAACAAGTCTTCAATTTCGCGCTGAACGAATAATAAGCTTATCTGCTCGCGCTAGTTGTACGCATAAGCTTTTGCGTTTGATCTGTAAAGAAAAGTTAACTTACGTAAGAAAACAATCTACTTTGGTATCGAGTTAATTTGTGACTTTCTCAAATCACAACCAAAACCTGTTTTTGATAGTTTTTTATTGTTTCTGCTTGTTTGGCGAGTTTGCAAAAGTTTTGATAGGAAAGTCTGACGCGTACAGGTAGCCATTTGCACAGTGCAGCGTGTGCACTTTCACGTCCGAGTCGGTGTTTTCAACTGTCAACAAACAACAATTGTTCCCTCAACATAGTGAAATTTTACACTGCGAAAATAAAATGGACAAGGAGTTCTGATAACTCAACCAACAAATCGAAATCGTTATTCGAGTTCATTAAAGAAAGCGTCATCGTAACTTTGCTGATTATTTCTGCTGCGTTGACATATTTACAGCTAAGCTTTTAATATGTTCTCAAACATTTATCAACCTTAAACATATTTAAAAACTAGAGATATTGTATGAGTTCGATTAACATTTTACCAATGGTGGAACTTTCATTTCAACAATTTCATGGAAATATCACCACAACTTGAAAGAAAATAGGCTGTGATCACAATTTTAGAAGGTTGAAGGTGATGTGCTCTTTACAGGATCTGAATCTTTTGAACAAACGAAGGACACTGTTTGACGAAAGCACTTCAAAGTACATATTGTTCCTTGTACATGTAGCCTAATCATGGCTCATGACTGATAAGGTATTAATAATTTCAGCAAATGTTTTTATCGATCCCAGTTGCCCAGCTGGCCCAGCTAAAATAGGCCTTGAGATACAGTAGATCAACTTATTCCTTTCATTTAATATTTGTACTTCATTTCCCTTTGGTTTATTTTTGATTAACTGAAACAATTTTGCAAATAACTGAAACAATTTCACAATTGCAGTTGTACCAGAAGTGACGATTATTGGTGTTCAAGTACAGTTTGTGATTAAAGGAAGACAATTACTGTTGACATGTCAGTATAATGCTTTGCCACCAGTGTCTGAAGTGCGGTGGGAAAAAGCTGGAATTGTGATAGCAAGAAATGCTAGTGTGGAGAGTAATGACTCACGAGTGACTATTCCACATTACAATCAAAGTCAAGGACAGCTGGCAATAAATGCAACTACACCACAAGATGCTGGGTATTACACCTGTGTCGTTATTAATGATGCTGGTAATTCATCAGATACCAAATCAGTTGTTATTCAAGGTCTGTTTTCCTGGTGTATTGTATTGACTTGGGTTCATACAATGTAACTTTCAGTAACTATCAACAAAGAAAAATCACGGCATGCTTAAAATGAGATGGTACTGAAATTACTGAAAAGAAATTTTTAGTATTCAGTTTTACTTTTGCATCCCTTGCTTTTATGGCTCTTTTAAGAATCCTCATAATTTTTTTCAATTTGCGATCTGCCTTTCCCTATTTTTTTTTGTTTTTTTGTTTTTTTGTTTTTTTGTTTTTTTGTTGTTGTTTGTTTTACACCATTAATTTACATTCAGCGCCCTTACGGGCGTTAATCCTTGAAAAAGAATTCACAGGAAAGAGAAGAATCATGATCTAACTTTATTAGTCTCTCTAATGGTAATGAACCTGTTAAAGAGCACTAAGGAGTACCCTTAATAAAACTGAAGAAAAAGATAACCTGGTTTAGAAGATTAGGTTCTTTCTGATTCATAGTGCTTCAATAATTTAACCAAATCACTTGTATCCTGTATTATTTGTCAGTCTATAATTACTTTTTGACTAATGGGGGAGAACTTTGATTGTACATGAATTGTTGTTAAAGAGTATATAATTATATAAATTAACTCTACAGTGGAACCAAACCCACCATTGAATGTGGCAGTTGGCTCAAAGAGCGCTCGAGTAGTGAACATTTCCTGGATTGCTGGTTTTGATGGGAACAGTGCAATTCAGAACTACACAGTAAAGAGAAGTCTAGATAATGCAGACTTTGAAGATCCTCTCTGTCAAGGATCCCTGTCAGATAGTTCCTGTGTGGTGCCCAGTACAAATGCTTCTCTTGAAAACCTCTCCCCTTGGACATTATATTACTTTAAAGTGTTCGCAAGAAACATGGTTGGCACTAGTGATGGGAGTCCTGTAGTGAATGCTACCACAGATGAAGAAGGTGCTCTACATGTATATAAACAATGTAGTTGTTTCAACATTTACATACATGTAATCTGTAACATCTGAATTTATATAAATTGCAGCTTTCATTCTACATTATTCAGGCACAGATTGCTTGATATTTTGATGACAAGGTGAATCAGTTTGATTGTTTGGCATGATTAAAATTTGACAGCACTTTTGCAGCCGATGGAAAATAGTGTACACAAAAATAATACACAAAATAGTGTTGGTTGTTTATTCATTTCCTTCACCCATTGACCGCTATTGTTTCCTGCAAAGATGTACAGCTGTATGTGAAAAGGGTCACTGGCTTAGCAAAGTAAGAACAAAAGGTCAACTTTATTATTAGTTTGGGAATTGTTTGCCTTTCGAACTTTTCTGTTCTTTCTTAGCCTGTTTCCTAATTTACTTGGGTTTGCTTCCTTGCTGCATTCTCTGCTCTTTTGTTGCCACATTTTCGTGTGTAATGTTTATGCCAACTTTAAAACTCAAATTAACTTTCTATACCAGAGCCTGGTGTTGCACCTGAAAATGTGACAGGACAGAGCAACAGCTCAACCAGCATCTTAGTCATGTGGGATAAAGTTCCATCTGATCAACAGAATGGCATCATCACGGGTTACACCATTACTTACCACTCACAAACAGAAAATGACAAAGGGAATGTTCTAGCTGGTCCTGATGATCGTCAAAAGGAATTGGCAAATCTAAAGGAGTGGGTCAACTACAATATAACAGTGTTTGCATCTACCGTCAAAGGAGCTGGACCAGCCAGTGATCCTGTTATTGTTGTTCGAACAGATCAGGATAGTAAGTTTTCTTTTTTTTTTAATACCCCATATTTGCGAGTTTTGAGACAGTTTTTTTTCTGCTTTGTCCTACTCAAGAATTCTTTCATCATCACAGGTATTAAAAGTTTGTCTTGTTCTGGACCCCAGCGGTAAAGATATCACCGTGTTTTAAAGCCCTCATGGGGAACAACTGGAAAACCACTCGTTTTTTAATGAAAAGTGCATGTTCCAGTTGTTTCAGCCTCAAGCTATGCTAAAGGCTTTTGTTCGTACGTAAGCTTATGGCAATTTTGACCTGAACGATGTTCCTTAGAAGTTGTTGTGGCACATTCAATCCCAATTTCTACATACTGTAGCACTGTTGTTAGCAAAAGTTAGCTAATTGCGCTTAAGGTTCGCCCTTTTATTGAGCAAGGAAGCATGGTTCGCATGGTTCGCATGGCATGCATGGCGCCCTCTTTGTACAAAATTCTTTGTGGCTTGCTACCTCTCCGGGCCAGTATACAGCAATGTCGCTGAGTTTTCAGTCGTTTTGGAATGATTCCGTATGATAAATGTTTTGGTTAAGCGTAAAATAACTTGGAATTTATCCAAACACAACAGCAGTCTGCGCTGTCTTCTTTAGTGTTAATCCCGAAACAAGGCAATAAAGCAACTTCAATCATATTTAAAACGAAAAATTCCCAAAAGTTACGTTAGGTAACGTGCCAAATAATGCATTGAATTTGCTGTCTGCCACCAAGAGCTCAAATTGATCCATTAATTACTCACCGGAACCGATTTTACGTTTGCTTGCCTCTCGAGGACAATAACATCACAGGAATGCTAGTACTAAATAATTTACACTTAATGTATAGTCCCGAGGGAAACAGTTAGTTTTGTTTTCCCCAGAGTCCTGATGTTTCCCGTGACGAAGTCGAGGGAAACATCAGGACTCGAGGGAAAACAAAACTAACTAGTTTCCTAAGGGACTATACATTAAGTGCTTTGTTATATATTAAGAGCAGCTTCGCCTAAATATCAACTAGACTTGGAAATAGCGAAAAAATCGAATTTCTTCAAACTCGCCCAGAATGAAGCCCTACGGGCACTA